TAATAAAATTTATATATAAAAAAAAAAATTTTTGTTCAGTTGACTGGAGAATTGCCTATTAAGAACATTAAAATTTTTTATAAGAATATAAAATTATTAATTTATATTCTAAGGGTGTGGTGACTTAGTGAAGTTGGTAAGTTGTTGCACCCCAAGCAGCTGGACCAGAGTTTAAATCTCACTAGCGACAAAATTTAAATTTACAGAAAATGTATTTAGAAGACTATATCCTATTTGGGTAAGCACCTGTAATGGGATTGTACCAATACTGTTGTACTGGGATGTAGTAAAAATACTGTATAATATATGAATTGCACAATAGTGAAGCTGTTGGGTAAATCTATCAAATCGGAATATGGAAGCCTGCTTGGCAAGACTCGAGTAGAGAAGTAATACAGATCTTTTATGATATTACCTGATAATCCGAAAAGGGGGAACTGAACAGCAGGAAAAGGGAGAACCAGATGGGACTGAAGTATTTGGCAAGACACTCTACCAACCAAGTCGCCAGCTGAGTAACTGGAGGAAAAGAACACAATAGTGAGTACCAGGGCAGGTTACAGTCTTTCCAGGCTATCTGGATTGGAAGTTTGATAAATTGGAAGTAGGGCTTAGTTTGGGAAACCAGAAGTAGGGCTTAGTTTGGGAAACCGAAAGTATAGGTTGTTAAGTGTGTATCGGGGTTTGGTAAACTCTACAAGGGCACAGAGTAAGTAACGGTAGCGGCTTCGGCTCACAAGTACTTGTCTTCAGACTTGGCACAAGTTGAAAAATTTAGGCTAGCTGGATTGTGGGTATAGAAAGTTCTCAAGGGTAACCAGCTGGTTGGTGCTCTAGGTGGGTTACTACCCTGTATGAGATTGGAGCTTCACAAGAACATGGTGGCGCAGAGAGTTTAAATAGGTAATCTCATAGTTAGGTTGCAAGTATAGCATCTAGTATAGGAACCTTCGGGCAGACTACTTAAATAGGCAACCAAAAGTTGCATATGTAGCTAGTTGTATCTTACAAAACTATATACCAAATGAGTAGCAGTTGACTTAGTGCAGCTTAGCACATAAACCAATAAAAGCTTCTAACCAAGAGGTTATTTTGAAATTTAAAAAAAAAAATCAATTTATATTCTCAAAGAACCAAAAAATTTTCAGATATTTAATATTGCTCTAGCTCAACTTGAACTGTTAACCTAGTCTGTAAAGGTTTGGCAACTTAATTGCTAAGCTATAGGACCCAAACCTGTAGTTCACAACTAACTTCTATTAATTGTCTAATTATATTTTTTTATAATTATAATTTAACTTTAATAGTTTCTAATTTAGTTTAATTAGATTATTGGTCTCTAAAAACCTTCTAAATTAATATGTTTGCAAATGATTTCTTGTGTATATATCTTAAGCTAAAATCTGTTATCTAGTTAAACTTCTATATACCAAAGTTAGTATTTTATTATTAAATAACCCTTTCTACTTATTTGCCTAGATATTACTAATCTTAATCCCTTGTTGCACTAAGTGTCACTTATGACTACCTTCATCATAATTTTTTATACGTGATAAACAATATTTATAACAATCATACTGTAACCAGGAATCTTCCCACAGAAGATTCCCAGTCTCATTATGAATAACCAGGAATTTTATAATTCTCTGCAATTAGAAATCTTTATAAGAGTTAAAATTATTAAAATTGTAAAGTTGGACAAAATTATTATAAACTTTGCAATTAATTAAATTGTCATAAGCAAAGCAGAAATTATGATCATGAATTTATTTAATTTTAATTACATTATAATTTCATATATAATTAAGCATTAATTATATAATAATTTAATTTATGGCATTAAACTAATATTAATGTTTATATTACTGCAATTTTTGATCATAATATTGGGAATTTTTACTTTTTTACATTTCATATCAGAATTGACCTCATTATTAGTTTTAGTTTCAGATTTATTATCAACGTTAGTTTTGAGTTCATTATTAGCATTAGCTTCAGAATCAATTTTATTAAATTCATTTGAAAGTAAATTGGATGCCTTGAAAAATCCTTTGTTAATATAACTAGAAGTTGAATCCTTTAATGCTATATGAGAATCGGGTTTTAAAAAAAAAATTCAGTTTAATTTATAAATAAATAGTATTATATACTATATATAATACTATATTACCTGCTTCTTCAATCAGAATTAAAAAAGAAACATTATCTCGTTTACGTTTTAATAATTGATGCTGATAAGCTGAAACTCTAGCAATAGTTTTGTGTCGAGAAAAGATCATTTGTCCATCCAATATAACGCCCAATTCTACAAGATTGTGAATACCCATAGATCGCATAGAATGATTAGTGATACAATGACCTTTAAAATCCTGTTTGCATCTTTACAAATATTGTGCATTATAGTATCATGCGATCCTTTTCCTAATTTTGATGTCAAATACTAATCACCATGAAATACTTTCTTAGAAGTATTTATTGAAATGAAAAAATAATCATCAACAACATTGTTTGAACATTTAGATAAATATTTCTGAATATCTGCAACTAGAGTATAAACATTTTCTGAAATATCAGGTGGTATTAAACTACTTCCTGATTCTGTATAAGGATCTTTAATTCCTCCCATATAGTTTTTTTCTTTAGACAATTCAAGCAACATACCATCATTATCTAATTCTTTAAGCCAAGATATTTTTAATCTTTTTGCATCACCACCTCTTAAACAACATAATAATGTTAACTAGATCCAAACTTTTTGCATAAGACCTTTTGGATTATCAACAGCTGTAGTAGGTGAATTTAATATAAACTTAATTTCATCAATTTCCAATGAACTAGATTGTTTGTGATTTTTATCACCATCATTAGCAAGTGATTTCATACGACCATTTAGTGTTCTATGTAAACTTTAAATTGATATTTATCAAACAAGTTTACAACTTGTATTTCTTCAAACATATCAGATATTTCTCATGCTATAGCACAAAATTTAGTATAAAGTGATGTTACCTTATATTCTTGGCCATTCAATTTTCTTAATTCAACAATAAACTGTGCTAACTGATCTGATAAAGTTTTATTATCTAGTTCAACAATTTCATTTGAGTAGTTATGTAGCTTACAAAATTTTATAAACAAAGACATCCACACATTTTTAGATTTGTCAGTATTTATATTTCTTGATGCTTGTTGGAATTCAGAAATCGCTTCTTCAGTTGTTGAAACAAATCGTAAATTAGTTTTTAACATTTTTTTTATTAAGTTAAAGTTTAATGAAAGTTTAACGAAATTTTAATAAAAGTTTTAGCGAATAAAAGATTTAGTGAAAAAAAAGTTTAATGAAAAAAAAATTTATTAAAATGATCATTATTAATAGTTAATCACAAGTCAATCATGATGACATGTAGTCAAATAAACATTTAGTGACATGCTTCTGAGGATTACCTATTTATTTTCTGAAGGGAAATTATAGCAGAAGTTACTGATGATCATATTATGTAGGATGGCCCTTTAGGCCATCCTACATGCTATGATCATCAGTAACCTCTGCTATAATTTCTGACCCTCCAGGAAATAAATAATACATATTTCAAATCAAAGATCTGCTACTACTACTAGCAGTGTTGTTACAGGACAGTTGTGGACAGTAAGTTTGGACACTTTAGACAATTTTAAACAATTAAATAAATTAAAATTACTCAAAATTTTATTAAGATAACCTATATCAATTTCTAAGTAAAATATGTCCAGCATATAAAAAAATATATAATTATATATTTTTTAACCAAATTTATTAATTATTAAAGTTTAGATATGCTTTGGATACTTGTGAACACTTGGACACTTGGATGTTAGACAGTACCAAAAAAGCCTTTAGACAGTCAAAATGTACAATACTGCTACTAGTTTACTATTTATAAGATATTTAATATTTTTTTTCTAATTTTTATATGCTTATATCTTTCTATTATCTTCTTTATACTTTTTTTTATAATATTTATTAAGAACTTATTTCAAGAACTTTATATTACTACAAGGTTTAACTCTTTTAGCTATTAGTTACTATAAACCTAGTACTATAATACCAAACAATCTACTTCTAATTCTAAAATTAATACAATATTAATGTTGATAAATACTAACTCTTTTTATTATAAACTTCTATATAGATGTAACCAAAATTCTGATTTAGTATATTTAGTTGTATAAAAACAAATATCAACAAGTTAAATACAAAAATATTGGTATTATCTTTAGATTACCTGAATTAGAGAACTTATTGATGTGACCTTATATAATAGAACATTTTAATACTACTACTATATAGGCTTCCTCTTTTTCCTTCTATAACTAATAGTAGCTAGTTTTAAATTAATTTACAAATAGAAAATTAAGAGGTGATTTGCTACACTTAGATGGTTATACAAGATATAATAGATGTTAAAAATTAATATTATCTTGATACAAATCTGTAACTAATCATATCATATATACAACAAATTCAAAAAAAAAAATACTACTACTACGCATAGTGTTTGCACTTTACAACCTGATCTTCTTTTAGAAACTTTTTATTCTAATTTTATACTATATTCAAACTTCTTATAGGGCTTTATATTCAATTTATAAATCTATAGATAACAAAAGCAAAATTTATTAAAATTTACCTTCAGTCCAACTTGAACTATTGACCTAGTCTGTGAGGTTTTGAAGCTTAACTGCTAGACTATAGAACCCAAATCCAAGTTTATTAATATTTAAAATTTTAAAAAATTTAATAAAAACAATTTGCTTGATTTTTATTGACTCACCTCCATTTATTAATCCAAGTTCATGAATATTTATTATCTTATTTATATTAAGTAGTCTGTATTTAAATTTAAAAATCTAATGAATGTGAAATAATAATAATATTATTAATAAGAAAATAACTAATGTACACCACAGGTGATGATCACTTGTGATTTACAGTATATAATTTCGCGTAACATAAACAAATAAATAAACAATTTAATAAATAAAAATTTGTTTTTTTTTGGGACTTTAGAGTAAGGGTTAGAGCTCATATTAGGGTTAGAGTTTAATAAGGTTTATAGTAAAATTTCACAAGGAATTTTTTTACTT